AGAAATTATCAATAAGTATCTAATAATAGTTTATAAATCCTAAAAAATATTTGATATTTTAGAATTTTTTTAATCTATTATTGTATATATTTTTTTAAAATATATTTGTAAATTATCATTTGAAATAATATATTCAAATAATTATTATATGAAAGATATATTTTTTTTAATATATATCATTTAGTAATATAAGATAAATATGTTATTTTTATTTATTTTTATTTTTAAAATAAATAAAAATGTAGTCCAAAATTATCTAAATATTCACAAAATACATTGTTTGTTAAATGTTGGAGAGGAGTTGGAGCATTTGTAAGTCCTAAAGATACAATATTATATTTAAAATGGCCATACCTAGTTCAAAATACAATCTTCTATTCATCTCATTTTTTAATATATATCAAATTATAAACTCCTTGTAGATCTATTTTAATGTAGATCCTAGCTTCACTTAGTTGATCAAAGAGTTTTAATATTAAAAACAAAAGATAAAAATTCTTGATGATTAATTTATTAATTCTACAAAAAAACTATAGACATTTGTAAAGATCTATTTTTTTTCTTCATAAAGACAATTGGCACATGTGCAAGAAATTTTGAATGTCAAATTAAACTCTATTTCAAGATTTTTATTAATATATTTTTTCAAATAAGCAAGTTTATTTTGCAATAAGTTATAAATTATTCTAATTGATGGTTGAAATCTTTCTTAAAGATGAATTACACAATCATAAGGTTGATTTTTTGGCAATATATTACCATTATTCTTCTCAAATACATCATAATATTTTTTATAATATTCTAATATTCTACTATGAATTTTATTTGAATTAAGACTTATTTCTATAAAACTAATAAATACATTTTTGTCTTCTATTGCTTGCATAAATGTCTTGGTTCCAACAAATAAAGGTTCAAATATTTTTTTTTCATTAGAATTAAATCTTGAGGTGAATTTTTTAAGTTTCTAATTAATATTAAAATTATGTAATTCAAATCAAAGAAGATTAAGTACCATAAGATTTAATGATATTGAATAATATTAAAGACAATGTTAAATACTTGATTTCCTATTGTTACTTTATATAGTTTAATTTCTTCTATGAGATCTTTAATTGCAAGTAGTTTTCTATCAATAACTTCTATTGGAATTAGGTGGATCCTTTTTTAAAGTATCAATTCTTGTTGGAATGAAAAGTCTTTATTCATAAAACATATTGAGGTTCTAGTATCTAAAAGTGCGTAATCTAAAAATTTATAATTTGAAGTTGTAATAACTATAGGAAGTTTAAAAGATGGTGTATGATTTAGTAGTATTATAAGACTTGTAATTAGTGGTCTAAAGTTGTTTAACTACAAGGTCCCTATTATGATTGAATATCTTTATTTTTAAACTTCTTTGTGATTAAATTTATATTCTTTGCTTTGAATCTTATTGATTTGATGTAAAAATCTTATACCTTATGATTTTCTTTTCTATAATATAAAATCAGATTTTTATAATAGTATTTTTTAATTTTTAATTTTTTTTGTTAGTGTCAATTACTTCAATGATTTGTATCAATTCCAAATATTCTAACCTATTGAAATGAATTTCTAAAAACTTGATAAATATTTTCATGACTTTATTTGTTCTTTTTTAATCAAATATTTATTCTTTGGATCTTTCAAAAAGTCAATTATCACATATATTTGCTTAAACAATAAAATATTCTAATAAGATTTTTTTTATATTATTAATAATTAATTATTGATATTATATTTTAACCTATATTAAAATTTATTAGTAAGGGATTGTTTAAATGTGGATAGTTCAAAAATTTTAAAACTCAAAAATAAGAATTGAGATAATCCATTCACTTCTAAAATAAAATAAGTATGACACATCATAATATTGTTATCAAATTGGCAATGATATGGACTACAATAAAATTCTAAAAATGACAATATATTCTTTTATCACCAAAAGAGAGAAAGTAGATAAGTAAAGGATAAATATGAAATTAAAATTAGAATGGCTATTGCCAAATGCAAAGAACTTATGAAGTTTTAAACCAAGATAAAGCACACAAATGTATTGACAAGTATAATGAAGGCCTCACTCTTACTTCCATATATATGATCTACTAGAGCACTATGTGGTAGTATCCTATAGGCCATATGGCATATGTCCATCATACAAGATACATATCTAATTCTTAGAAAAAAATTCCAATATGTGGATGTCATGGCCAATTTGTAATATTAGTATGTGAATGTGCAACATGTGGCCAATTTTTTGGCCATGTTGTTAACCTATCAATCAATTATAAACATGTGTAAATTCTACAAAGATTTTGAAAAGCTTCCTAATAAGATATTAACAATTTATCCTATTTTTACTTACTTCTACCTAGTTCTACTTAGCTAAATAAATATACCAATAAATATGGCTATCCATTATAGTGCATTTCTCATTAAAGTATAATTTTAAAACTATTCTTCTTGCAACATCTTTTTAAATTAATATCAATTATGTAATAAATATAAAAATTAAATTAAAATAATTATATCTTTAATATTATAAAATTGATTTGAGATTATTATTTTTTAGCATAAAATCTTATTAGAATCATGTAATATATTATAATAAAATTCATAAATACTTTATAATAATTATATAAATTATAAATTTGATATAAATAATTTATTTTTTATTTACATATATATAAATAAATAGCCTTATATTTTTTAACAAAAAAATCTATAAAATAAGAAGATTGGCTCTATATAGACTCAAAGCTTCAAATCCAAAATCTTATGGATTGTAGTCAAGATTCTAAAAATTGGCATTGAAAGCTTTTGTTATTCAAAACATATTATAATAAGTACTTAATTTTATTGTAATTCTAGCTCTTTTTTATGCTACAATTAGATATTTTTAAAGTACATATGTATAAGGATCTATAAATTTGTGTTTAGTGACTAAATAGTGAATAGTGATGATTTACAAAGTGAGTGTTTTTTGGCATGTTTTGTAAATAGAGACCATGAGTGAAGACTTTGATGTATTGAAGTAGATTAATATGGAAGACATATCATTGTTGTTTCTTAAAAAATTATCATTCTGAAGAATATATTGTTAATATTGAAGAAACAAAAATATTATAGAAATCAAATTGCAATAATATTTTTATTATTGAAGATTATATCTTTGTATTGATTGATTAATATTCATTGTTGTAATGCAAAGCCAACATTACAAAATCACTTGTTCAATATATATAAAAGTCTTATCATCTTTTTGATAAAGTTCTACTCAATGAGGCTTTGTATTGCTGAGAAGACATGCCATGGCCTTAAGTATTTAGGTTTGGTTGACTTGCCTCAACAATAGTGAAGCTCTAGTTTGAAGCAATGGTAATAATCAAAGAAAGGTAAGGTCTCTATTCTTTTGAAGAGACTAATTTACCTTTGGTAGGATGAGGGCAAGAAGTTTTGTGAAGCAAAATATAACATTCTTCTAATCACATGGATGTTGAAATGTTAATAAATAGAGCAAAATGATATTGAATTGTCACAAAAAAAAATTACCAATAAAATTGTCTTACATACACATAAATACCACTACATTTAATGTATGAGATTTATTATTAAATATAAGTATTTTTAAAAAAATTAAAGAATGAATCTAATAAATATCAATAATTAATATCTTACTTATATTAATTAAAAATATAGTTTATGTATTTTATAATAAAATATTATAATTTATATTTTATATTAAACATAATTTTATTTATATATATATATATATATATATATATATATATATGTGTGCATATAATATTACAATATCAACTAGATTTTTTATACAATTTGGATCTCTATTTTATTTTATCCAAAAATTTACCTTAAAAAAATGATAAAAAATATCAATTTGACATGATTTTGTATATTTATTTTATAATAAAATAGTATAAATAAATTTTATAAATGATATATAGATGGTTAATACATATCAACATATTTAAAATACAAAATCAATTAATAAAAAATACTTAATTGGAATTTTCTATTAAAGATAAGATATTGCCAAATAAGACTAATTTTAAAATGTCAATCTATCATCAATAAATAAACTAGATGTTTGTATATTTATAATTGAAAGCATATAGCATTAGATCATAAATTTTCACTACAAATGTTATTACGTAAAGTTAGATTAAAGGATTAATCCTAAATAATATATAATACTATAATGTAAAATAATAAGAATTTTAATATAATTAATTATACTTTTAAAATGTACTTCATTTATTTTTGTTTTCATATAAAAATACCACATCATTATTATCTGTTTTTTTATTGGAACATTCATACTTTTGGATTTGCAGACTTACCAATATTTCTAATGAAGAATTCCATATCAATCCCGACCTTAATCGAGTCGATTGATACTCTTCTCTAGTTTATACCCTGTTATCAATATTCGTCCCGGGTATAGCTAAGGGCGGGCCTATCCTCCCTTAATCAGAAGTGCTAGTCACTGGATGCGCTGAGAAGCAAGATTTCATGGCTGAAGCTCCGTAGCGATGGCGATGGCGAGGCGATTAGGTCACGTCTATGAAAACGTTGAAGCAATCTGCATGAGATAGAGGCAGAATTGCCTCATCTGCCCCTTGCTTTGCCTCGCTTCGCCAGATCTCTTCAATGCAATTGTCGCTGCTGTCGCGTTGCTGCTCCCCTCGCTCTCCCATCATTGTTCCTGTCAGTCCAGAGCCCTCCTCTCGGGGTCGTCTTGTTGTTCGTCTCTTCTGTTCCTTCTTCCCCTCTGCCTTTTTAGTCCCCCTTTCCCCTTGAACACATCCCCGGCCTTATGCTTCTCTTCTTTACTGTTGTTCGACTTCGTACTGCAACAGCCTCCTTCTTATTATGATCAGTATTGTTGTTGTTGTTGAGGTTTCACTTTTTTCTCTGTATTGGCGTTACTTTTTCTGGTGCATTCCTACCATGTAACTTCATTATCTATGTATTGATGCTCAGTTTTTCGCTGTTGGAACTTCGATGCAATTCCTTTGCGATCCCCCAGCTTGTATTCTCTCTGATTTTTTCCATTTGCTACGTGCATGTTGTTTCACCTCTGCGGCCTCGGTTCGGATGGTCAGTTGTTGCTCTAGCTCACTTGCATCAGTGAATAAGATCATATTGTCAATGATCCCGACATCTCGATTTCTGAGTGTTGAGAGCTTGCACGTGAAATAATGAGTGAGATTATATGTCGGCCATACTTCATGTAATCAAGAGAGGACTGGTTGTTGTTCGAGGGAACAGGAGGGCAGGGCCTCATGGACACTACGGCGGCATCCGAGTTGGGGATGAGGGAACCGGTTGCAGGGATGGATGGTGCTGGTTTCTGGGATGTAGGGACGCCAGGCCTAGGTCAGTGGGGCGACAACGGAGGCAATGATTCCGTTGATGACAATTTATCTCGGGACAGAGCAGGACCTCGTGGTGGTGGCGCTGTGAATCAGGATTTCCAGCAAACTTTTCATTTTGGATTCGGAAGAGGAGGAGCTGTTCTGTCCCCGAACCTCCACAGAAACTGTTTCTCACAGTGTCTGGTGAGAATGGAGGCCTTAGTCATTGTATTATTTATGGAAATGATCAGGGGTCTGAGCACCTTGGAAGAGGAACTCGACGGGGAAGAGGCACTGCTGTTGGAGCAGTGCAAGCAAACTTTGATGCAGTGGGTTCGTTACCATCATAGTTGAGTAGGAAAGGGACGTGAGATGGGTAGCATTTGTTACAATACGAAGCTGTGGTGTGGTTTTCGGAGTGGAAACTGCCCTTACAACACCAATTGCAACTTCTCTCATGGTATGGAAGAACTGCGGAAGCCTCCGCCAGGGTGGGAAGACTTATTTGCATCACAAGAGCTTCCACTTCAACCACCTAGTGACACTGGCGGTCAAAGGGCATTGGAAGCTGCCACGGGATCGACGGATTCGTAAGTCCGATTTCACAAGTCACTACCTTGCAAGAAATACTTTGGAGAGGGCAGTTGCTCTTACGGAGAGAATTGCAACTTTCTGCACAACGAACTGAGCGTTCCTCGTGCTGTGCGGGAAGCAAGAGAGGTTGCTGTGGCTGCTGCTTCTGGTCCTGTCGTCACAGCTTCCCCCAAAGTTGAAATTCAGCTGAGTCCAACAAGTTCAAGTAACAAGGAGGGAGGGGGAGGCAGCTCAACTTTTGCAGGTTTGCAACCTTGAATGCTCGCTCTTTGAAAGGGAAACTAGGTTGTGTAAGAAATGGGATTATACAGGTCAGTGTCTTATTGAAGATAAATGTCATTTTGCCCACGGTTCTGATGGAGAGCTTGTAGGTAAAACACCCTTACAAGGTATATATCGTACTCAAACCGAATAACCTCAGAGGATGATTTGTCTCTTGTTATCCAAGTCCAAGTCCTTTTTACGCCTGTCGTAAACATTCCCGAATAGGAAAAGTTTTGAATATGCCTTTGAAATTGGTTTTTACATCAAGGCCAATGGAATTGCTCAGACAGATATACATGATGCGTATTCGTTCTCATGCAAGTATGTCTTAGAATGTTTGCAAACATCATGACTATTTGTGTGCAGCATCCACCTTATGATAACAGTTATTTGTTCAGAGTTGCAGAGATGCGGAGGAGGGCTTCCGGATTCAAATGCTCCTGCTCGTTCTGACAAGAAGTCAGGAGGCGCACATTCAAAAGACTCAGTTGCAGTGTCATCGCATCGAAGGTATCACAGTGGAGAGTCCTTTGCTCGGTTTGGCTCGAAGGACGATATCAGTAGGCGAGGTCTGCTCGAGATATCGACAGTTTATGGTGACTGATGGGTTGAGGACAACGACTTGCAATGCGGTTTAACTAGCAGGAACCATGAAACTACTAAACACCGGCTTGACGAGTGGAGGGATGGGCAGAGGCAGATACCTCTACCACCATTCTCTTCGACAAAACAAAAAGCAGGATATTTTTTGATGCACAATAATAGCTTGGAGCATCCTCGACAGCGGAAATTTTAGTCCAATTAGCTCAAATGGATGAAAGGGTGAGCCAGCAAACCTTCCAATATGAAGGTGTGAACGAGGGGAGTGCAAAGAATTGTATTGCACTTTGAGCATGATTTGAGAGGCTTGCCCGAAAATCGCTTTCTATCCATCCATCGAAGCTGGTGGAGAAAAACTGAAACTGAAACTGGCTGTTGTTTCCCTCTCTGACTTCCGTTCTGTTTTGATCTCGTGGACTTCATTGAAGTTAAACTTCTAACCACAATTGGAACTGCTCTGCTGGAGGCCCGGCATTGCCTTGCTTCCGGATGAAAGGAAGTGTAGTTCAAGTAAACATGGTGTGCTTGCTTTAGAGGGAGCATTGTTTCCGGATCTTACAAGATATGCTGACTTGGTCATCTCTTCCTAGTGCTACTGAATCCCCCAACATTCATAAATGTGTAATTAGCATCAGGTTTGCACCAAAACCTCTTCCTGGTTTGCAATATTATACCTGTTCAGAAGTACTTGCGCAAAGTTTGCAAGTCCTACTGAATGAGCATGTACTGGCAGGCATCCATTACTTCAGCGAGGTCAGGGCAATGGATTGGAAAAACTCTTGCTGCATCATCTCTCTGAAAAAACGTGTAGTAATGTTGTATACGGAAGTAGCAGTCTCGCAAGGAATTGCTCGCTTACAAGTCTTCCTGTTGTTGCTCCTTCCAATGTTTGATAAGGTATTCCAAGCCGTCATTCTCACCTAGGTCGAAGAGTTCCTGCATATACTTATGGTTCTGGAAAAACTGGAGTTTAAGAGGAGATTCTGGACGGCGTTGAATCTATCATGGACGAGTCCATGTGGATGCACTTCAGGTAAATGAATCCATTCTTCACCAATTGACCATCTCCCACAAGTAAATTCAATTGATCACAATTTAGCAATTTTTTCAATAAAACAACTAAATAATTTCAAAGAGATCAAGAAACGAATCCAATCTAGATCTTGAGCAGTGAACAAAATAAGTCACTAAGAATCCAAATAAAAATCGCATCGTTTCAAATTTAAAAACCAACGGATTAAACATCATTTAATCTATAAATTACAATTTTTTTAGCAAACAAACTATAATCCAAAAGGACTGTAGTGCTAGTGAGCAAATCAATGGCGGATGACAAATAGGAACCATGTACTGAAGGAAATGTAAGTTGCTCAGTAAAGAAAAAATTGATTTAATCGATATTTAAATTCTCACGACGCAATGCATGAAGCTAGCGGAGGACCAAGACAAGCCACATTAGATATCAACTACTCTTCTACCAGTGGCAAAACTTTGAAGCTACGAGATAGAATGATAAGCCAGATCAATAACATTGATAATTATTAGGAATTAAGCAACTATCAAAAACAATAATGAAACACGCAAAGAAAAATCATATTTATCACATATAGTAAGGTTCATTGAACAGCATCAAAGAAAACTCAACATCAACTCTTGTTCATCATTCATCTGTCACATCTGCAATAGCAGCCTGCGTGGAACAGTTTCATGACACACACCCTGAGAACCAACCCCACGTCCGCAGTGTTCCTTCTCCGTGAGCAGAAAGAGGAAGAATAGGAAGAAGAAACTGTGTCCACGACCGTGGGCACCACCGTTCCCCACACGAGGAACGTGAGCGTTCCCAGGCTGCAGTGCCGTGTGCCCTTGGATCGTCGTGGGCATTGATCAGCGGTCGGCGGCGTTGTGCGATGCACCGGCAGCATCGGATGGGTGAGGTTCGAGGAGCATGCAAAGCCTGGGCTTAGGGCTCAGCTGTCCGCTCTTGCCACCTTCGCATGAGAAGGGAGCGGTTGGTTGGGCCATGCAGCCGCCTCATCTGCCGCCGATCGACGCCGAGTGCCGCTGCCCCGCCTAAACCTGGAGATATAAGTACGCCGATAACCCTAGACGCGGCTGTCGGAGTCTGTATTTCTGCTTCAGCGTGGCAGAGATTCAGGATTTTCTCATAAGAGCACCGCGCGTGATTCATCATCTGCACTCTTGTTGTCTCATTTTCGCAACTGAGACATCTCTCTACCTCGTCGTGCCCTCTCTCTTCCTCCGTCGCAATGGCGAATTCCGAGGTCACCTTCATCATGATCAAGCCCGACGGCGTTCAACGCGGCCTTGTACGTGACCTCCGCCGTGCTGGTTCCGTCGTCGTGGATGTTTCGTGCTTCGTTTGGGGTCGCAAGTTTGGTTTACGTTTTTTCGGTTGCGGTTAAGAGGGTTTTGGCTGAGGTCGTTTGTTTGTGATGTGCAGATTGGAGACATCATCTGCAGGTTCGAGAAGAAGGGTTTCTTTCTCAAAGGTACTGATGGGTGCCCTGCCCCTGCTGTTCGTTTCTCTGTGACGTGGGTTTCTTGCGCAGAGTCCGCCGGAGTTGGCACTTGGGGCGTTAGTGGTGTGTGCAGAGGTGTTTACATTGCGCATTCGCGGGGTTGGAGAGAAGGGGACCATGTGTGCGGCGGAGGGGGTTGATGAGAAGTTTGAAATACCACTGAAATATAATGTGGACTACATAACTCGGCTTTCCCTGACCCCTGCGCTGTCACTGGGTAACGAGAGGGGTTGATAGATGGTGCTGGAGTGGAAGTGCGATGGGACTTCCTTGGGACTTTGCTTAGACGCGGCTGTAGACGAGTACAGTGGGATTTGTGTGCAGAGTGAGAGGGTTTTGGACATGGAATGAGAGATGTCGCCAGTGCGTAGTGGCCGCCCGGAGAGGCGGCGCGACACGCAGCTGACAATGACTCGCGTGATGAAAGCCCGTGGTGTGTGCAGCCATGAAGATGGTGCAGGTTGAGAGATCTTTCGCGGAGAAGCACTACTCCGATCTGTCGACGAAGTCGTTTTTTGGATCTTTGGTGGAGTACATCGTCTCCGGACCCGTGGTCGCCATGGTGTGGCAAGGTAAGGGAGTTGTGGCAACCGGACGTAAGATCATCGGAGCCACGAACCCCGCCGCGTCTGAGCCCGGAACAATCCGCGGAGACTACTGCATCGAAGTGAGCAGGTACGTACACAGTTCCGAACATGGGCATGAGATTCTGCAACTCGTGTAGCGTGTGCGGATTGCTGATTTTTTGTCAAATTACGCCGACTTTTTTTCCACTATGTGAAGTATTCTCGTTCGTGACAACCCCGAGTTGTCAGCAATGTGGGGGGCGGAGGTAGAGTGGTTGACCCAATATGGGGGCGTGTGCAGGAACATTATCCACGGAAGTGACGCAGTGGAGAGCGCCCAGAAGGAGATTGCCCTGTGGTTCCCCGATGGCATCATTGACTGGCGCAGCGCCAATCACTCCTGGATCTACGAGAACTAGGCAGTGCAAATATTTATATGTTTTGGAGATACTTGTAGATTGCGGTTCTATCCATTGTTGTCGGCATACGTCATCGGTCGGAGTTAGAGTTGAGTGTGTATTTTAGCGAAAAAGTGGTTGTTTGTTGGTCTACGGCATGTAGTTGTGTCGTCTTTAGACACTAAATTTGCATAGTTGGAGGCTGATTGATTGTCATGTGGTGGAAGCTGCATGTTCGTTGCCAAATTTCTATATAAATATCTGTCCCTTCGTCGTTGAAGTCGATCTGGACAAATGACAATGATCTTGACCTGTGCATCCTACCTTCGTCACCTTTTAATCAATCAACTGTTGCTCTGAATTATACTCGCGCACCATATGCGGCCAACCTCATTGTTCGCTTAAAATGACAAATTTGAAACGATATCTTCTTAACTTTTCTTCACTCGTCACCCATTGTAGTAACATCTTTTAAATATTTCCTCTCCCGGTGGCAATACAGATAAGCAATTTATCTGTTCCCAACCATACGAGTCTAGCTTGTTTTTTTGCTGGCAGTCCATTTACGAATCGAAGTTTTTTCCATCGTTGCATTCTTCCAACTTTTGGACAATATGACAGAAAACTCTGTAACATACTTAATCCAGCAAAACTCTTCTCGTTAATTTTTCGAAATGCATGTTGTGAAGAGAAACTATACGTAGAGCAAATGACGATATAACTCCTTTTAATGGCCAATGTGGCAATCATAGAAAAAATGTAACAGCCGAGATGTTATGATGAAACAACTAGTGAAACAAAAATGCATATATTTTCATTTCACTGCACATAAGAACATTTCATAGAAAACATAATTGTGGCAATTTTTCCTACCGACAGATATTTGTTCTGCAGTAAACTGGTAAATTATCAATTACATTAATAATTTTATCAGAAAACAAACAACGTTCGATTGTTTACTCTACAATAATTATTTAGAAATGAATATATTTGACATCAATATTTTCTTTCTCTTTAGATAATAATGATAAATTGATACAACAATCTATAAGATATGAAAGATAAATAGACCGCATCTAATGCAAAGAAAGATAATCCCTTTCCTCAATGATTCCAACAAAGAAAAAGAAAAAGAAATGTTTACTAAAAAGGAAAAAGAATTATACACATTATGAGTACAATAAGGTTGGAGACCCATCAATACCCAAGTGAGACATTTTTCATCAAGATAGTTTTTAACAGGAAAAAAATTTCGTTCTAAGCTATAAAACCACGTTATGGCTGTTGAGAATGTTTAGAAAGATACAAGAGTAGTTGTAAGTAATACACACACTTAAGAGTAGTAGTAAGTCATATACTCAAGAGGGTTTCTAAGGAGAGAAAGCTTTACACATAAGCTTTACAACCATATTGATCTGGTTGTATCATATACAAGAGGAAAAAGGGAGAGGATAAACAATTCTTCTCCACTAGACTCTAAATATTGTAGCTACAGTATTTACTATAGTCTACAGTAAATACTATGGAGAGTGCCGGCTACATTTAATGCTCTCAACACTCTTCCTCGCTCATCATAATATTTACACAATATAAATTTTGTATAGAATTATGATCTATACTTTTTTGTGATCTTACAAGATCAACAATTGTTGCCTCATTAAAACCTTATCTATCAAAACCTTATTATATTTAAGGATAAAACCATAGATGAAGGAAAAAGAGTACAATATCATTTTTTTTAATTATTTAAAGAGCTCATTAACTTTCTTATTCAAGAAAAACAAGTTGCCACATATCAATTCCATAAGTAAGTCGACGATGATTGCACAATGGAAGAGCTTTGGTGAAGAGATCAGCAAGGTTATTTTCAGATTCAATTTTCTTAATTATAAGTGCTTGATCAATAATCAAGTCATGGATATAACTAAAATACTTTGGATCAATATGCTTTGTCTTATCACCTTTAATGAAACCAACTTGCATCTGTGCAATACAAGCACTATTATCTTCATGCAAGATAGTTGGAGAATCCTCATATGAAAATCCACAAGTTGTTTGAATGAATTTATCAATTGATTGCAACCAAATACATTCTCAAGATGCTTCATGTAAGGCAATAATTTTTGCATGGTTGAATGAAGTTGCAGTTATTGTTTGTTACATTGATTTCCATGATATTGCACCTCCATGTCTTAAAAATACATATCCTGTTTGAAATTTAGCTATTGCAGTATCAGATTTATATCTTGCATCACAATATCTAACCAATTTTGGATATGTAGATTGTGTGTAGTATAATCTCAAGTCTTTAGTACCTTTAAAATAATGTAATAAATATTTGATGCCATTCCAATGTTGTAGTGTTGGATGTGCACTAAGTCTTGTAAGAATACTAACTGCAAATGCAATATCTAGTCTTGCAGATGTAACTAAATATAAAACTGCTCCAACCGTTGCAAGGTATGAATATTGATCTTCCAATATTTCCTCCTCCTCTTTGCATGGACGATATGGATTATGACCATCACGACCACGTCCAACCATTGGTGTGGACAATGGATAAGCATCAATGATATTAAATCTTTGCAAAATTCGTCTAATATATGTTAGTTGGTAGAGAAAAATGCTACCATATGTTAGATATATAATTTGAAGACCAATGCAGAAAGTTGTTTTTCGTAGCATTTTCATCTCAAATTCACGTATGAGTAGGTTAGTAGCTATAATACATGCAGATGTAGTGCCTACTAGGTTAAGATTATCATCATACACAACAATGATGACAAAACTAGTTTTATCTCATTTGATAAATAAACAAGGAATTTTTGTTTTCTACTATAATTAATAGTAGAACGTTTATTCTTTCTATATGGATAGAAATGTTCATGACTATAACTACCTTGATACTTATGACCATGTTTTCTATGTTTATATAATTTTTTCTTAGATTTTGAAATATTAAGTGCATGAGATTTTGAAACTATAGTTCCAATAGGACGAGCTTCCACATTTTGCAGGAGTAGCTCATTTTGATTCTCCACAAGAAGTAGATAGCTTATGAGATCAGAATGATTGTGAAATTTCATATTCTTGTATTGTTGTACAAGCATGACAGATACATGAAGAAATATAGGAGAGTTTTCTCAATCATTTCTTCTTCGAGATGCTTTGTCTACATAATCGTAATTGTGAGACAATACTATAGATTTTACTATTGAAAGCATTTAAATTTGGAAAATCCAAGATATGTAAATGTATCCAATTATGACATGCACGTGAAAGGAAAATGGTACTTTGATAATCAAACCTGAATTTAAGATTCTTCCAAAGTTTTATAAGATCTTCCATTTTGAAATATTGATGTTGTAATGCAAGTAGAAAGTGACGATGAATAGATAGTACTTTACAATAAACAGAAGGGAATAAAAATACATATTGTAGGAGATTCTTCAAACATAATAGAATTCAAAAGTTGTTTTACAAATAAATTAGCTTTTGCCATTTTTGTACATAGTAGATATTTATTTCCATGCACAATGAATGGTGGAAATTAAAGAGCATGAAAATGATGGGATGCATTGGTAATAGTTGAAACCATAGTAGAAAGAGTTGAAGATGTTACAATAATAGTTCTAAATAAATCTGTGAAGAAAAAAAAATAAAGTAGCAAAGTTGAACAATATGTTATTAAAAATATAATGTCAAATAAAATGATAAACTTTAACTTGAAAAATAAAATTATCATTATTATTAACAAAGTTGTGGATTAAGGCATCAGAACAGCAGCAGAGCAGTAGTAGTAGGACGGCGGTAACAGAGTGACAGCTGGCAGGGAGATAGACGCCAGTTCGGCAGACGGATGAGCAGGGAGCAAGCTGGAGGTGGGTTGGATTAAGTATTCTAAGCAAGTTGAGTAAAGAATAGAACAATTTCTCTACACAAGCAACTAATGTGTGAGGGCCAGCAAGATGAACAGCAATTTTTGCTTTAAGAAAAGCAATAGGTTTGAAGAGTCCAGACTAAAGCAAAAATTTAAAAAAAAAATTGTGATACTGTGTAGAGTTGTGTTGATAATGTGTTGAGAATGTTTAGAGAGACACAAGAATAGTAGTGAGTAACACACACACAAGAGTAGTACTAAGTCATACACACAAGAGGGTTTCTAAGGAGAGAGAGCATCACACATAAAAATCTGTTGATCTGGTTGTGTCTCGTGTACAAGAGGAGAAAGAGGAGAAAGGGAGAAGATAAACAGTTCTTCCCCACTAGACTCTACAGTAAATATTATGGAGAGCGCCGGCTAAAATTTATGTTCTCAACAATGGCAAACACGCTACTTCACCGACCGAAAACGACAAAACGAATTCCAAAAATAATGTACTGATAGAAGCAAGAATTGTGATAAACGAATCAAACATCGGACAGCCCTAAACCTCAATTTACACGTATCTCCAAAACATATAAATATTTGCACTGCCTAGTTCTCGTAGATCCAGGAGTGATTGGCGCTGCGCCAGTCAATGATGCCATCGGGGAACCACAGGGCAATCTCCTTCTGGGCGCTCTCCACTGCGTCACTTCCGTGGATAATGTTCCTGCACACGCCCCCATATTGGGTCAACCACTCTACCTCCGCCCCCCACATTGCTGACAACTCGGGGTTGTCACGAACGAGAATACTTCACATAGTGGAAAAAAAGTCGGCGTAATTTGACAAAAAATCAGCAATCCGCACACGCTACACGAGTTGCAGAATCTCATGCCCATGTTCGGAACTGTGTACGTACCTGCTCACTTCGATGCAGTAGTCTCCGCGGATTGTTCCGGGCTCAGACGCGGCGGGGTTCGTGGCTCCGATGATCTTACGTCCGGTTGCCACAACTCCCTTACCTTGCCACACCATGGCGACCACGGGTCCGGAGACGATGTACTCCACCAAAGATCCAAAAAACGACTTCGTCGACAGATCGGAGTAGTGCTTCTCCGCGAAAGATCTCTCAACCTGCACCATCTTCATGGCTGCACACACCACGGGCTTTCATCACGCGAGTCATTGTCAGCTGCGTGTCGCGCCGCCTCTCCGGGCGGCCACTACGCACTGGCGACATCTCTCATTCCATGTCCAAAACCCTCTCACTCTGCACACAAATCCCACTGTACTCGTCTACAGCCGCGTCTAAGCAAAGTCCCAAGGAAGTCCCATCGCACTTCCACTCCAGCACCATCTATCAACCCCTCTCGTTACCCAGTGACAGCGCAGGGGTCAGGGAAAGCCGAGTTATGTAGTCCACATTATATTTCAGTGGTATTTCAAACTTCTCATCAACCCCCTCCGCCGCACACATGGTCCCCTTCTCTCCAACCCCGCGAATGCGCAATGTAAACACCTCTGCACACACCACTAACGCCCCAAGTGCCAACTCCGGCGGACTCTGCGCAAGAAACCCACGTCACAGAGAAACGAACAGCAGGGGCAGGGCACCCATCAGTACCTTTGAGAAAGAAACCCTTCTTCTCGAACCTGCAGATGATGTCTCCAATCTGCACATCACAAACAAACGACCTCAGCCAAAACCCTCTTAACCGCAACCGAAAAAACGTAAACCAAACTTGCGACCCCAAACGAAGCACGAAACATCCACGACGACGGAACCAGCACGGCGGAGGTCACGTACAAGGCCGCGTTGAACGCCGTCGGGCTTGATCATGATGAAGGTGACCTCGGAATTCGCCATTGCGACGGAGGAAGAGAGAGGGCACGACGAGGTAGAGAGATGTCTCAGTTGCGAAAATGAGACAACAAGAGTGCAGATGATGAATCACGCGCGGTGCTCTTATGAGAAAATCCTGAATCTCTGCCACGCTGAAGCAGAAATACAGACTCCGACAGCCGCGTCTAGGGTTATCGGCGTACTTATATCTCCAGGTTTAGGCGGGGCAGCGGCACTCGGCGTCGATCGGCGGCAGATGAGGCGGCTGCATGGCCCAACCAACCGCTCCCTTCTCATGCGAAGGTGGCAAGAGCGGACAGCTGAGCCCTAAGCCCAGGCTTTGCATGCTCCTCGAACCTCACCCATCCGATGCTGCCGGTGCATCGCACAACGCCGCCGACCGCTGATCAATGCCCACGACGATCCAAGGGCACACGGCACTGCAGCCTGGGAACGCTCACGTTCCTCGTGTGGGGAACGGTGGTGCCCACGGTCGTGGACACAGTTTCTTCTTCCTATTCTTCCTCTTTCTGCTCACGGAGAAGGAACACTGCGGACGTGGGGTTGGTTCTCAGGGTGTGTGTCATGAAACTGTTCCACGCAGGCTGCTATTGCTTTGTGAAGAAAGCTGTAGTTCGGTCCCATTGTTCAGATCATGCTTCTCATTCTGCCCAGCTTTTCTCCTTCATCTTCTTCTTCTACTTATTCTTTCTTGTTTCATCCAATCTGTGTGTATGCACATTCGTGGAATTGTGGAGTGCTAAAATATTCCAATCACTGACTGCACCTACAGTCACTTGATGCTTTCTCGTTTGCCGGGTGGGGCGACACCCTACTGCTGTCTCTTCTTCCATGTGCTTGTTGTTGTTGTTTTCAGAAGGATGTTCGTTATTTTGTCAGAGGTGACCCCAATTGTTTCTAAGTTCAAAGATTTTCTAGTGTTGAAGATGACAAGCTTAAATATTATTATTGTTATCTGTAAATGCTACAGGTGAATGATCAGGAAGCTAGTTGATGTTTAGTACTTTTGATGTTGTACAATGAACGTTATTATAAAATGGATAAGTTTTGGAGAATGTTGTCCATATGTGTTTAGGTTGAATTTAGAATTCATGAACATACGTTTACGAGTAAAATTTTAGCCTCTGTCATGTGTTCTATTGGATTGCTTCTTTTTTCTTTTTTTCTTTATTTGGTAGTATTTATAGTTTTAGTGTTGCTTTACTTGGCTTGGAGGCATATTTTTTTCTGTCTTTAATGTATTGTGTGTGTGTGTGAGAGAGAGAGGGTCTCTGTGTATGTAGACCCACTACTCACAGAAGTGAATTTATCATACACAACAATGAACAGAAATAGAGCAGGTGGCATTCTTTGAGATGCCACTGAGATTATTTGATCATGTTGTTTTTGGATCAATGTAAGCATGTATGTTTAATTCCAGTTTTCTATATTCCGAATGCATATATATATATATATATATAATTGTTTGTATTACTTTTTACTTTTCTACTTTTAATTTTTGTGTGTGTGCGGTTGGTTAGTTCTATATGCTTAGAAATATATCTACAAGGCGTTGTTTGATACATATGTGTGTTTTTTCAGTATGACCATGTTTTTCTAGGTTGGTAACAAATTGAGACTAAATGTAAATCAAAGTTGTATCCTATCAACATTCAATTAGATTCAGAGAGTATATATTGTCAAGACAGGGTAATTGTGTACAACATGGAACCTTCTCATGGATTAAGGGCATAATGTTCTGTAGAGTACGTTATTGATGCTTGATGTTGTTTTGTGAAAATGTATTTACTATTCGTGGATAGGTATCATCATTTGTATTGTTTATTCTTTGAGATATCAATCATCAATGTGCTTTTAAATCGAGCTCGAGCACTATGATTACTGGTGATAACAGCTTCATTTCTTGTTAACATAAAGATACTGGTGTGGAACCTCTATATTCTAGCTGTTTTTTATTAAAATGAAACAGTGGTTCAATAGGAATATATATAAATAACGCCTGGAAAGAAAAATATTTGTAAATGTTGAGGAGTACAGGACACGAATGAACTAATCTGCCGTTGTGTAGTATTTAATGATCACCTAATAGAAATTTAAATCATATGCAAAAATATTGAATGGTGTATTTCTTCATTTGAAGTTGGCAATGATATGACACCAAATCTCAAAACATGGGATGCATCAATCACATTCTTGTGCTACAGCTGTGGAAAATGCACAATATATCGGAATAACTTCATTTCATACGTACCTGTGAAACGAGAATATTTGAAGTACATTTTGACATATTTTCTTAGACAGAATGCTATACAAGATTTATGTAATATTCACTCCTGATTGGAGGAGATATTGGCCAGGTAAAGGAACTCCCCCAGGGTATCGAGTTTTTGTATCCGGGCATATGTGCAGGTTCTCATCCGGATATCCGGATGATATTCCATCTCCACGTTCATCTCAGTTTGCTATGAGGAGCCGCTTTAGCCCCAAGCCTGCCCTCTTCACACTCGCTGCTCCGCTGTCCCTATGCCGGTCGTTCGATCAAGGCTTCCGTCCCTTGTGAAAATTTCGGGAATTTCATGCGAGGGATGGCTTCGTCGTGGTCGTGGCGCATCGTTTGCTGGTGCCGGGGATTGTCTTTACTCTTCGCTACTCTCGCATGATCACTCCTGTTGCACCGACGCTGTCTGCACATTTTCTATCACTCTTAGCAGGTTTTTCCAATCTTCTGTCTCGTGCGCTGGGTAGCCATGGTCATTGCTTTGCGCTGTGTGCTCTCTCCCTCCTCGCAACTGGCTTCCATCTCTATTTCTCATGCTTTCCCGAATTCTAACTTAGCTCTGCCGCTGGTGGTGCTCTCCCACTGCTTTCGCGACTCTTCTCTGTCACTGACCTTTTGTTTTAGCTGAAATCGCTGATCTGTGCTGGTTGTCAGAAACTTTGTGCTGGATGTGACGAGGTTCGGAAATGACGAAGCTCACAATCGTCATTTTCTCTCTTGCGCCATTTCTGCGTTTGGTGAAAATCAACATGTTGATGCAGTTTCTGCTGATGTTTCAGAACCACGGGTCTTGAACTTCAGTGAATAACATATTGCTTGGAGTGTCTCACTCCGGTGTCAATTGGAGTGTTCGGGAGGGATATTTAACTGCCTTTTTTCTCTCTTTTTGATTGATTGATATTCTTGTTTCCGTAGTAGCATCCAGCTTCCTGGCTTCAACTCGCGTGAGGTGATTATCTTCGTCCAATATTTAGCTGTAGAGAGGCTTGCAGGTGGATATCATCTGAATTCATGAAACTATTATCTTAGGTTCAACTCTCGCAAGAACATTAGATTAACGTAGCTTTTCAGATTAATGAACCTCACGACATAATCCAAGAAAATTGGTTCATTTTTCCGGGTGTGTTCGACTGTAGTTCTGAAAGCGAAAGGTTGAATGTCAACTTAATAATTTCCTAAATCAACTACACTGGCTCCGTTTTTATTTCTGAGTTGAGTAGTTCGTTTGTATATTGACAATATCTCACCTCAAACAGTACGTATATGAGTATATGTAGTCAGTGCTCTAAAGCTTATCGCAGTATTAGGAAACATTTCAATTGGATTCTATTTCAGTCTCAACTAGGTACTTCATGCGGTTGGTATTGCGCTTCGTCTGCAGTTTGGTTGTTAGCAATGTATTCGACTGGATGGGGGTTATGCGTGTAGCATATATTGTGCACGATTGGCCGTTTCTTGGTATTAGTTATGATTATAGCGCTTGTTCGACCACAGTTAGGAGAGCGACCTTGGTACTTTTCCACTTTTCAGGATCTTGTCTTCCTCCATTATCGAGTCGTCAACTTCTTGCTATAAGACCAAATCGCTGCAGCAGCTAATGCTGTTCATGGTGCTGGATAATATTTTTATTTCCTGAGGTTCTGGGGAGTACCTAGTTTGTCTACCAGGTAAAATGGAGCAAAGGACTTACGCTGTCTTCTATAACCGTCAACATTATTAGTTGAGGCAGTGATTGGAAAATGACTGCAGATTTTGTTAGGTTTTCTTATAAGTTATGATTCTGCCACGTTTCAAAAATCATGGGAGAAACATTACTCTATGATATCGTCAGTCGTGGGAAGCTTTTGAGATGAATACCGCTGCTACTAACCTTAATCTTGAAATTGCAACTGGCTGCAATATTGAGCAATTTGCACGGTATTTCAGAAGTGATCATTAAGGTTAAGGTTATTTCAGTGATTTTCTTAAAAGACGCCCTCTTGATTCTTGAGATTTTCATTTATAGTTTTGGTAGGTTATCTTTCTGAATATTACCAGTTTTCAAGATTTTTCATAAGGTCAAATGCCGACGCTGGAGGTACCTACATTAGTATTTTCGTTTACTGGTGTTCTCGACTATATCTGAGGATTTATTAGGCATTTGATAGATATATCTGGTGCAGGTTCTTAAGCAAACTCCAGAGCAATTCTTTGGGCATCTTATAGTGGGTGGCGGAATCTCCGACTCCACTGATCCTAATGGGCGGTTCGTTATGTGAGTACTTGGCTATTGTACTGAAGACGTTTCTTTACCACATAGGTGGAGATGATTGGCATTTCCAGCTAGTGCTTTTTTGCTTTCTTTTTATACTTTTTGTCAGGAAAATAAACAAATGTTCAGGATTATGAAGAGATAAAACTTGCAGTTCAACCGAGAGTAGCTCATAGCCGTGAGAAGATTAGAGTATTTCTCAATGAGTTGTGCAGGGGAGATTCGCAAAGATGTTCTGCACAGATAGAGATAAATTTCAATCGTCAGTTCATTTAGCTTGCATCACGCTGTGGATTGTATCTGATACCCAGTCAGAGCGTTTCTAGAGTTTCCTCACATTTCGTTTCATGTCTTCCTTAAGTTGATCTTGCCATTTTAACGTTGAGTTGCCATCTACATCTTTGTGACACACGTTCATCGATCTTATTCACACATATAAGTGGCTTCTGCGTATTTCAGATTTGGAAGTGACAAAATATTTTGCCGATATGGTGCTGTTTATGCTGCTGAGGGGTGTCTCCGCTCAGGGGTACTGTACCTGATCTTTTGGAATCACGTATTAATAGTTTTGGTTCTCAGTTATAGTGCACATCTTTCAATGAGCTCGTCGCTCCACGTTATTAATATGAAGCCACTGCACTTGTCATAAAACCTAAGAAAATTTCATTTGATCTTTAGAGTCATGAAAGTCACTGAAGAATTGACAAACGTGAAACTTCTGTTGACAGGTGATCGTTCGAACCTTTCTCCACTTTGTTCAGGTCAGGGAAGAGCAGCTTGGAACAGATTCCCTATGTTTCTAAAATCAGGTATGATCTGTTATGTTTCACAACGGTGCTTTACGTTTTATATGTATTTTCTCTCTCTCGTATGTGATGTGAGTAGAGCGAGCTAGTATTTCTTGTAGACACTTTCCGTGCTCTTCCGCAGGTTTACTATCTTTTAGATATTCCAAATGTCTTGCATTGGGTTGCATAGTCTAAGTAACACATTTCGTTTTGTTCACCTTCAGCTCTCTCGTGATTTTGAGTAGATTTATTGTCTACTGTAGACCACTTGTTACTGAATCTCGTAGGTGACACATAAACCGTTGAAGATCTTCATTCGTGTGTCCTCAACAGAAAGAAGAAAAAAATGGTATTTCAGCGTAATAGACTTTTTCCCAATGGTTCGAATTTGCTACAACCAGAATCCTAAATTGTTTGTGATTAAAGTAACGAAGAGAATGTAGAATAAATGGCTTGTACGCGAGATGAATGATTAGTTAAGTCATTGATTACTAGCTTCTTACTGTCAATCACAAGGATGACGTGAGTGGCACGCGCTGGCTGTGGTTGTCAGTGTAGATCCAGTAAGGTTGTACATGAAAGATGCTTTGGAAGTGCCCTATAAAATTGTTGAAGTCTAAGAAGTAGGCCCAAAGTGAGAAGTTCGCTTGGTATCAGTGCACGGTACTTCATGTCGTGGTTTCCCTGTCATACAATTTATTTTACGTGTTGCAAATCGAACCAGCAGATCTAGTATCACAGTCTACACACTGGTTTCTATGTCATCTGCCGGCAGGTCTGCGATGCCCGCTGCAGGAGACTCACAGGAGCTTATGAGCTGACTAAAGCAGTTCAGAATATTTGTGTTTGGAATATTCGTTTGAATTGTATCAATTCCGACTAGATGGATTTTTTCTATTCCTCCTTCTGTCCTAATGATTTGTTTCTAATACTTCCATTGATCTGCTTGGCAGTATGTGCGGAATGCAAAGCCAGTTTGAGTCTTTCAATTGCTCATGCGCCTTCTTCAATTCTGCTTCTTGCTGACACAATTAATTGTTTCAAGATTGTCGATGCAGTCGCGTAAGCTGAAGCTACATTCTTCTTTGTGCTCAAATAAATTCAAACGTATTCTTCGTAAAAGTAGAGACAGCTATGGACATGAAACCGTGCGTTGCCAAGTTCTTTTAGAACTAGAAATAAATCTTCGAATAAGTGCTCCACCTCAGTGACTTAGTGGTTAACAATTTTTTGACATTGGAAATGTGTTTAGGTTCTGCTGTCTGTAAATTGTCAGATATACTGTTTTAAGATGGGGGAAATAGTTTGTGAAAAGTGAAAAGCTCATGTGAGTCTAGTGCTGTTTATGGAAGCAGAACCTTGACGGTTATGTATTCCTATCTACTCTAAGGAATATTGCGGTCTTTTGATGGTCGTGACTTGCTACTCAATTCCAGTAACACATCTCTGGTCACAGGTCAAAGGCAAGGATTCGACATCAACCTTGTGAAGCTCGTATCCGACGTTGGTACCAACATAGTGATAGTAAGCGGTGGTGTGGTTGTTTGAAGCACTTTTCAGGGCTTCAGCTTCTATCAAACTAGGGCTGCAGCTGCGTTGGCTGCCGAAAGATGCCACAGAAAGGACGTAAGTTGATTGGAGTTTTTAAAGAGTGAGCACTGACTTTCCAAGCTAAGCATGGATTGATTCAGAAGTGTTTGTGTAGGGAAATATCAAGCTCAAAGAATACTGTAAGGTTGCTGACAGATGTTACTTATTGCTGTCAGAGCTGTTTCCCGGTATGTTCTGCCTTCGTTAGACTAGATTATAATTGATGTTTTGCATTGATGGTAAGGTATCTCACCAATGTGTCACGTTAGGAAACAATGCTCATTAAAGTGATACTCGGTATACATGAGGAAGTACACCCACTTAATGTTGGACTTTCCCTTTTATATTTGACTGTCAACAATGTTTGGGAAATTGCAGTTGGAAATTTTAAATGTGAAGAAACGTTGAGTCTCATCAGTCGTTGAAACAAAACTATGTAGCGTGAGCACTGATTGTCCTGGCTTGCACCAAGCTGTCGTTTCGTATTCAGTCGGACTTCCCGTTGTATATTATACCTGTTGGTTAGTTAGTTTGTTTGTCTTTGGCTTCGAGGCGGTCACAAACATTCAGCTTCTTAAACTAGTAAGGAATTTCTTGTAGGACGATCATTTTCCCGGAGCCCTCGAGAATCGTGTTCACTTGTGTCAAACCTTGAGTAAAGCTGTAGTTTATCTTAGCGGTCCTTTCTCTGAAGAGGGAACTTGGTCTATACGGTATTGTGACACTGATGGTAGGTTGTCATTTCACTTGGATCACTAAGTGACGAATTGTTGTTCTGCACTGGAAACATGGTCATAATTGGAAGCCTTTTTGAAACATTCCAATCCTTGGCTTTATTGTTCATTAACCCTGTCAATAGGTGTGCAGAAAGTTGGCTATCACGATGTCTAAATTACTGTTCGATGAAGTTTCATAATAGGATCGTCTTTTAGCATCTTAGCAGGGTCAATCCCTGAGTCATTTTGCAAACTGATTGGCCAGTTACCCGAGGAGATATTCAAAGTCAGCACACTTCTTCACGAATTGAGTGTTCGAATGGTATTATAAGAAGGGATTTTCTTTTTTATCATATCTTAATGCAAATCACCCTCTAATGTTGCATAATATGAACGAGACAATATCTGGTAGTCAAGGTTTCCACTTATAACGAAGGTTACTTTAATCGGCTTATCATGGCCCTTTTGAGTTAATCTCTTTTGAGTGGTATTCAATTTGTTCTTTTAGGGCATGGGGACCATCAATCCATTTACCACATGTATTCAAAATTTGTTTGTAGTAATTGGCAAAACCTTATGCTTATACTCCTCTTTTTATGGATGGGTTTAATGTAACATAAAATATATTTATTTAAATTAATTACCAAATCAAACCATATATTCTTAACAATAAGCAATAAATAAAGTATCCAATGATAAAAATCAAATGAATGTGGTTTCTGGAATGGAAAATATTTCAAAGTATGGTAAAACTACCCTCCAACGCTTGTTTAATTTTTCCCATTTAAAGATCAATAAAAAATGTATATGTAGACACATTTACAATCTTTGAAATGTAAACAATTATTTTGTTGGCTGCCCTTGGATTCAAAAGTAATCTCTCCAAACCTCTAACGATTACACCCCGTAGATTTGTGGGGCCTATTCTGCTTTGAGTTAAAATAGTACCACGTGTTTTTTCTATCTTCCTTAACTCACAATTTTTCAATTATCACTCTCCAATGAACTTGTATCTCATTTCATTCATACAGTAGAGTTGATACCCATTTGTGAAAATCTAGAATGTTCCCCTTTAAAAATAAAAATAAAAATAAAAAATCAAGTATTTGTACGAGAAAAAGGAAACAAAGTGGAATTTTAGTTAATTAAGAAACAGTACCTTAACATTTGTGGGGACATGGAAAAAAGGAAGTATTTTCATTGCTACATCAATCCATGAACATTCATTTCCTTTGGTAAAGTATGTTCTAAGAAATTTAATAAAATCACCCGACTTATAAAGCTAGGGGAATCTTGCATTCATCCATCCAACGACTCATCCATCATCTTCCTGACGTTCATCCATTGTGGCTAATATCAAGAAAAGCTGGGCTTCAAACACATTTCCCACCTAAAGAACGAATATTCTAGATGCTATAATTGGACTATGTAATATTTCATGACATCTGGATTGGGACCTCGAGACGCCGAACGAAGGAGAGAGGTAGCTTCGTGCGCAGTGAGAATTGGTCGACCAGGGGAATGGCTCACTTCCCAATCAAAAAGCAAAAATGTGAAGATAAAGATAAAGAGGATCTTTCTGCCTCCCCCACCTCCGGGAGAAAAAGAAAAGCCACAGCAATTTGGGGGCTAAATATGACCACAAAAGCACCATTGAATGCCAGTCCACATACTTTGGAGGGGAGCGAAGCTAAAGAGAAAGAAAGAACAAAGCCAAAAAGGATGCAACAAGACTAATTTTGGTGACACAAATTGGCATACAAGGGCATTCTAGACACACACACTCAATAAATAATATCGAGTTTCGACTTTTTAAGGTACACTTGAACATAACCCACGTTGTCATGATTTTCGATTGCATTACCTGTTATTTCACAACCCCATACCATGATAAGATTTGAATGTGTTTCGCTATTTGAACTGATTTTCTTAACAAAATCATGCTTTTAGATATTTGTTGATTGTTTAGAGTTGAACATGTGTCCATGAAACAAAGTTACATCTACACATCAAAAACTTGTGCTTCAATTACTTAATATCATAAGCAATGACTTCAAGATTTATCTTTACATGATATACCAATGTTTTTCAAGTATTTAAATAGTAAAAGTACCTTTATTAAAAAAAATGTTAAAAAAAATACAACATTGTGAAGTTAGTCATGCTCTCCTTCAAACTATTGCAATTACATTTATTAAAAAGATAATATATATATATATATATATATATATTGTTGGACGCAACTGCCGTTGAGGCATCCTTTAATGACCGACCATTCGAGCAGGTGCACATCAGGTACCTTTTCACACGAGCTTGACTGATTCCTGGTCGCAATATGTCCTGGTTGTGATATTTGTGTGAACGCATTATACTCACCTACATCGAAGACGGGAATTATCCCTATTCACACGCAAGTGATGACAGGGCCGCGTGTTTCCTCCTCGTCAGAGAAATATACCTAGTGTTTGAAGAGTCTCGTGCACGGATCCGACGACGACGACGACGACGATTGAATTGAACGGCACGGAGCGATCGATGCTGGTCATGACCACGAGATTGCGCCGCATGCCGCACCCGGTATCAGAAACTCTGTCAGTTTTGAGTTGTTACTTGTGTTGTTACTCGAAGTGCTTGTGGAATACGGTGGGCGTGGAGCATTCTCTTGCAGGTAGCGTGGGAAATAATTTGATCGAGTTGGTGATTTGGGTGATAAGTTAAAGTAAAAAGCTGTTGGGATCCGTGAAGTAACCAGGCGAGCGATGGAGTTGAGGCCCGGGGCGTTGAGATTTGTAGCGGTATCTTCGGCGACTGGTAAAATAATTCCGTAAGCATCAGTGGAGCGAGATGCTGTGAATGAGAATCTGGGTTGTGAGGTTTGGGATTGGAAGAAATGGAACACCAGTGGCTTCGTCAGTGGTTCGATGTTGAATTGAGGGTGTACTTCTGACAAAACTTTGAAATAGTCATCTTAATGGATGGATCCTTCTGCAATGTCGTCATGAATCCAGAGGCTAGATCCAAGTCCTATGAAACAGAGCGTGAAGATCGGCCAGGTATTGGAAATTAAGATCGAAAATTTCATTCGGGAGGGTGTCTCACTGATTGGTGGATTCAACCTGCCAGTCATCGGTATCAATCACCCGGAATCCGCATCACTGAAAGTAGGAGGTTAGGTTACATCCTCGTGGCCTTCGATTTACCGAAACAGCTATAGGGCCCTTGTTACTGTGCCGAGTTGACGCGCCAGTCGCAGAAAGATCTGAAAAATCACTGCCTTCAAACAATTCAAGTTGCTCGAGTCCGGAATATCATCTTGATGGATGCGCTGACACCTGAAATAGACTGACTGGAGGACCCTCACCTGGTCGATGCGCTCGACCTTCAGTTACGCAACGACTCATCCCGCAGACTGCGATTAGATGAAGCTGTTTCTCCATTGCAAACTCACAACGTCGATAAGCACAAATATGCGTTCCAGCGGACTGATTTTCTTCTTCAGTCTGTCACTAGCTCGACAATGCTTCCGATCAGCTATCGGGGTTAGAACAAACGCGGTTCGATCCAGCTCCATGTCGTGCATGAGTCCACTGTTGACGCCACCGCGGACGCCGCGGGCAATCTGAGAGGCTCAAGCAGGCCTGCTCGGCTTCCATTGTCTAGCATCCATACATCGCCGAACTGTAAAACTTGATTTGAACACGAGATTGTAGCCAAGTATACTACACCAAATTTCTGTTCACCAAATTTCATTAGAAATCAGAATCTTCTTAATAACACACTGTGTTCTACGAAGAGCGATGCGTGCTTGCAAAAAATCACCACCAGTGTTATAGATGGGTCCATGTTTATAAAATCAACAATTGCACCATTTACAGTCTATAATGCTTTGATGTTCCTGACAGTCCAGAAACAGGAAATATTGAACAGCGTGGATATGTGTGTGTGTGTGTATATATATATATATATATATGAAAGACGTAAAAGTGATAGCAGTTATTTTCTTTCTCTATTTTTCTTTTTTGATAGATTTTGATGTTCAAGAAAGGCTTTCGAACGTGTATATTTCTTCTTATTGCAAAAGAGATTAAACGAGGCAACAAGGAAAAGTAACGATCATGATTTTGCTTATTATCTAAGCAATTACAGCTAGGGTTTTAATGTTTTTGTACGTTCAGTTCGATTGTGTAGTTCATGAATACGAAAATTGGGGTATTCAACTTGTTGATGTGGTACTACGACACTGCAATGACATTGGAACATGAAAAGTGGCAATAATTTTTTAAAAAAAGTTGCCTAATATCTATGTACATATTATTTAAAAAGAAAGTTTTGATACAATAACCTAAATGTAAATTTTCTGTAAACATTATCAAAATAGTAAATAAATAAATAAATAAGTTTTCACGATACATACACCCGTTGTTTTGAGAAATTTATATAACGTATGCTGCCTAACTTTTTCAAATTATGTTAGATAATGTAAAATCTTGAACAGATCTTGCATAATATGTATTCTTAGTTATAAAAACATTGATCGATATAAAACATATTTTATACTCATGAGCTAATAAAAGTAGTTTTAAATATATATATATATATTTAGTATACTCCAGAAATTTTAAAATTTTAAAAATAGAAGTAAATATTATATTTACT